AAGCAGTGACATAACTTTCAGATTTGAATTCAGCAAGTTCAATTTCAGAATCAGTGCTCTTAAGCACATGGTACCTTGGGAGGGAACACCAGAGATTTGGGTTCCTCTACCACCGCGGTCCCTGAAGGGGCATCCCCTGAGCCATCAATCTGTACAAAGGACAGAAAAATTCAGCTAGGAGGCACTACAAGGAGAATCCTAGGACGCTAGTGCTAGAATGTCCTGAATCTCATCCGTTCTATCTCCTTTTATAGATAAGGAAAGAGGCCCTGAATGGGGAATAACTTGTCCAAGGTGACTAGCAAGTTAAGGGTGGAGTTGACACCAGAGCCCAGGCCTCCTCATCTCTTGTCCAACATTCTTTCCATCACACTGTGCTGGCAGTGACAGGAAATAGGATGGAGCCTTGAAATGAATGCCTCGCATAAGCATGAGGGTTGGGAGTATTGTCATTAGCTGATAAACCTGAGGAGGGGTCATCCTTGAATCAAATGTCTTTTCTCTATAACTGACTTCCAAAGTCATCTGCAGGATTCCCTGCAGGTCTGTGTGACGGGCAGCTTCACCGCTGGTACGTTTCTGAAATAGGCCTGGACGCTTCCCTCCCCGCAAAGGAGCTTCTGTGGAGGGAAGGACTGGCCTGACCATTGCCCCAGGTGGCCTTGAAGCTTTGCTATCAGCTCTAATCTCTGTTCAGGCAGAGGGCAGCACTTGGACACACCGCTCCAGCTCCCAGCTTTCACGGACCCTGGGGAATCACATGGCACTTGGCAGCCTGGGGCAGGTCATGCATGTAGACTTTGTCTTCCCTGGGGACACAGCTTGAAATGGGGGAGCTCTGAAGGCTGGGAGCTATTCACCAGCTGCCTCTTCTGTTAGCTCCTCATATTTTGCCATAAGTGACCTATGAACTAAGCTCTGTATCATGGGAGTGCCTGAAACCATGGGGTTCTGGCCTCATCTGGGCCCGGACAGACCACTCTGTCACCCATGTGCTCTCGCTTTCCTCACTGTTTCCACGACTTGAGGCAGAATGCCCACAAGGGTACCCCACAGCAGGGACTCCAAGCCAAGAGGAGGTAGCTCCCTTCCACATCTGTCCTGTTTGATTCCTCCTCTTATTCTTCTCCACAGACCTGACTAAAGGCACCATCAAGTATGGTCTGACTGTGGAGGACCTCATCATGACGGGGATCAACTACCTGGATACCCGCAGTAACTTCTGGAGGCAGCAGAAGCCCATCTATGCCAGGGAGCGTGACCGGAAGCTAATGCAAGAGAAATGGCTGCGGGACCGCAAACGCCGTCCCTCGCAGACAGCCCGTTACATCCTCAAGAGCCTAGAGGACATTGACATGTGTGGGTGGTGTTCTCAGAGGGGTGGGGTCTTTTCCAGGTGGGGAGGGAGCAACAGAGAAGCCTGAGCCCTTGGCTTCCCTGGACTGTGGATGGTCGTATGGGGGAGGGAGGTTCTCCCATCAGCCATGAGGAAGCTGCTTCCACCTCCATGTCCCCTCTTTTCCTTCTCAGTGCTGACCAGCGGCAGTGCTGAAGGGAGTCTTCAGAAAGCTGAGAAAGTGCTGAAGAAGGTGCTGGAATGGAACAAAGATGAGGTGCCCAACAAGGACGAACTGGTTGGAAACCTGTACAGCTGCATAGGGAACGCCCAGATTGAGCTGGGGCAGATGGTAGCAGCACTGCAGAGCCACAGAAAGGACCTCGAGATTGCCAAGGAATAGTGAGTGCCTGGGGAGGCCGAGCAGCCAAGGCTCAGGGGCCTGCAGAGGAGTGGGGCTGGGGCTAAATCTCAGCCTTTTGCCAGGGCTGCTGGTGGCTGAGCTCTCATTTTCTGCCTTGCATGCCTAAGGTAGATCCCACAGAGGGAGGAGTCCCCTGCCCACGACTGAGGGTAAGGGGCAGGACTGTCGGCTTTTTTTGCCACAAAGAGGAGGGCAGCTCCAGACTCCAAACAGTCTCCAGTCATCTGGCTCTTAGGGAAATTTTTATTCTTATACCATCTTGATAGGCACTCCTCAACCCCAGATGTGCCAGATGCTGCTAGCATTAGAAACACAACAGTAACCAGACACCCTGCAGGTGTCAAGGAAAAAGTGACATAGCTAGTCAATCAGTACTATGATAAGTGTCATAAGGAAAAGTACAGGACCCAGTACTACGAGAAGTATATGCCAGGAGGACATGACTGGGCATTGGCAAACACGCTTGGCCTGTGGGAAGGCCCTGAGACAGATGGGAGGAAACCGAAGGCTGGAGAGCACAGAGTATTGCCAGAGGAAGAATGGCCAAGAAGAGGCTGGACCAAGTGGGCAGGGCTTAGATCCAGCAGGGCCTTGGAAACCATATGCTTACCAACTGCCTAGGCTCTGGAGCCCAGCCCATCTGGGGTTCAGAATTGTACTTACCAGCCGTGGGACCTCGGACAAGGCATTTGGTCTCTCTCGGCTTCAACGTCTCTTCTGTCAGATGGATATAATAACAGCTCCACCTGATAGGGTGGGAGGGAGGATGGCATGCAGAGTGCACGTAAGGACCTCAGGACATCGCTGGGTATCCATAATAACAGTAATATCAGTTCTCCCAGGAACCAGCTCGTTCCAAACTTGATGGCCCACTCTCAGAGGTACCATGGCTTTCTGGGCATCTGGTTTGAAACTTTGGAGTCATTTGTGACTTTCTCCTGCCCGGTTCCTACTTGTCCACAGTTCGGAGCCTCTTTCCATCTCCCTTCCTCCCGTTTCCACTTACAGGTAGGCTCTTGGCTCTCTCTGCCTTCAGCTACTCCCACACATCACCCTCATGATGCACTGCTTTTTATCTATCAACCCTCCTTCCCCTGCTGACCAACAGGCCTTGGCCCCGTGTTGCCTTCAGGTTGAAACCAAATGCCTTTGCTTGACACTCAAGGCCCTCTCTGAACCTCGTTCTGCACAGCCCTCTGATGTCAGTCCTCCGTTCAGGTCAAACTGGATTTCCTGAACACTCCTGCCTCATGCCCTCTCCTTCTCACTCATCCGAGCTCTGCATGCTGTTTATTTCCAGTTCATTTCCCATCTGCTTCTACCATGCCGAGCAGGAGTATTACTCATTGGCTATTCTGGAAGTAGAAGACAAGTCAACAAACAACCAGCTGTGGAGACACCTGACTTTGACTTCTGGCTCTGGCATTCATAAGCTGTGTGGATTTGACTAAGTCGCTTACCTTCTCAGTTTCCTCATCTCTAGGGATGGCATCATAATACCAACTCACGGGTTTTATGAGGATCAAATCCGATATATATATGCAGCACTTTGGATCCAATTATATCATATGCCCTAAAGGCATGTACATCTTTACTTCTGGCCAGACTCCAGACTTCTGAGCCCCAGGCCTGCATATCCAACTAATTCCAAGACATTTCCGCTTGGATGTTCCACCAGATCCCCAAATTTAACATGTCCAAAGTGGAATCCCTTATCTGCATCCCATACCTCTTGCTCTATCCATGGGGATGGCATTGCTGGCCACTCAGTCCCCAAGGAGCCGCGGTGGCCTTCCAGATGCCTCTCTCCCCTCACTGCTCATGCCCAGCCCACCCATGTCCTCTCCATGCCTCCTCCTGCCCATCTCCTGGAGCACCTTCCCTTCTGCTTCCCTCCCGTGGCTCAGTCCAGACCCTCCTCACTTCTTGCTTGTTTTCTCTGACCTGCATTTCCTGCAACTGAGCCAGCCCTTCTGTGGAAAACAAACCCTTGGTCAAGATAAAATTCAAGTGCAGTTCTGCCTCCTTTCCTGACCTGACTTGTCCCGGTTTCTCTTGACCCAGCTCTCTCTAGGCCCATAGGTATCCGTGCCCCAGCCAACACCTTGTGGCTCTGCTCCTGCTAGTCCCTAAACGGGACTACCTCCTCTTTCCCCAGCCCTTTCTTCATCAACTCCATCCTACCCATCCTTCAAAATTTAAATAAGTAAAGCCTTTCATGCTCCTAAGCAGTAATAGAAATCCCTCCTCTGTGCTCCCGCTCCATACTCCACATGTATCCTGTTTGCCCTGTTAGGCTCTGGACTCTGGACAGAACTATCTTATATGCCCGTTCTCCCAGCACCTGCCACAAGTGAACATGTAATAAATGTATGCTAAGTGGCTAAATAAACAAAGGCGTTCCTTAAACAAAGTTAGTTCCTTTTTAACATCCACAAACAGAGTTAGTTCCTTTTTAACATCCTTCTTGCTTGCGAGTTGGTCACTCTAATTAGCCACGAGCCTCCCTCTCTGCCCACCCCCCGCAAAAAGCCTATCATCCTTGGAGGCGCAGTTCAAATCTCAACTTGTCTAAGTAGCTTCTTGAATGATCCCAGCTCTCATTTCTTTCTCCAAATATTCTATAGATGATTTGATTGCCCATTTTCTCATTGCGATTATCTTATTACGTGTTGTTGTTATGAATAACATTATCACTTTTCATTCATTCATTACACCATAACAGAGCACCCACTTTGGAAGGGGAAACTGACATCAGAGGTGCAGGCGCCTGAGAGCAGTAGGTGCGAAGTATGACCAAGGGGCCTAAGGAAAAAGGCAGGCGGGAGCACTTCTGGGAGCTGAGGAAGATTTGGAGAGGACAGGAGAGTCAGCAAGGGGGATGAGGGAGAGGAGAAGGACACCCTAGGCAGAGGGACCTGGCAGAGCTGGAGGATTTGGGGAACTGCAGGTAGTGTGGCAGGGTTGGGGGTCAGGACCCGTGGGGAGTAGGTGGACCTGATGCCACTCTGAGGAGGAAGGGCATTAGCCTGAAGGTACAAGGGGCCAGTGAGTTTGATTTTAGGCAAGCACCACAGTGCTGTACTTGATTCACAACCCTGTGGTGCTGAGCGCAGACTTCGAAAGTCACTCCCTTCACTTCCCCGGGACTGCGCTGAGATGTGTGTCCTTCTGGTCCCTTTTCAGTGTATTTACCTACATATTTATATACGTCTGTACATAGGGTTTTAAAAACGAAAACAACTCACTTCTCTGTTTTGTTTTTCGAAGAATGTGTCTTGGGAAGGGTCTCATTCTTTGAATGGCTGCATAGAAAGGTATTTCAGCTCACACAGGAATCTGTGTCACTACATCTTTGTGGGCGCTTAAGCTGCCCCACTTCTGCCATGCAAACAGTGCTGCAGTGAGACTCCACAGGTGTGTGTGAGTAGCTCTGTGGGTAGAGGAATGGCTTGATCAGGTTTGCATTTTAGGAAGACAGGCTGGCCACGTGGGGAGGCTGGATTAGAGGAGAGTTTCATGGGAGACATGGAAGCCTCTGGGTTGCAGGGTCTTGAGGGGTGCAAAGGAAATGGGAAGGGAGAGAATGAGAGAGGTTTTCGTCGCGAGGTCTGGAATTGGGGAAGGTTTTCTTGTTTTATTTGTTTGGAAGGTGGTAATTTTTAAGAGATAAGATTGTTCATATGGCAATGGTAAATAATTAATGTAGGGGGTGCAATGGTCTTTTATGGAAATCT